ATGAATAATACAAATCCACAAAGTAATGATGCCGCCTTTTTCTTTCTTTCAACAAGTAGACCAGAGAGTTCGTTTCCTGAATTCTCAAAGCCAGTATTTTTATTCCTGTTTAACAGAGAGGAAAAATACCCCCTGAGGGATAGATGGCCAAGGTGCCTGCTTTGGGGTGCCCTGTCCTGGCAACCACTCTCCCAGGCTAACTCCAGGCCTGAGACCAACAGGACTCAGGGTCACGCTCTGCTGGGGATACAACCAGACTACCCAGACCTTACACGTCAGATGTGATTCCTTAGATGTCAAATCTCTTGATCATTTCCAAATATCAAACTTACCTCAAAGGACAGAGATTTGTTAGCAGGAAGGAACTTGCTGAAGGCAATTCCAAAAGAGGGGCGTGGTAAGACCTTTCTGAGTCTGACTAAGCCCCCGCATTCGCCTATGTGTGTAGTCTCCTCCAGGAGCAATTATGAAGGGACAACAGTGATTTGGATGGATAAGCTCTGGTGTGCTTGTCTTAAGATAGAAAAGAAAAAACACAAGGAGGCTCCTAACTTTACACTCACCGAGAAAAAGAAGGCAGGCAGAAATAAAGGAATGGAAATGCACGCAGGGGGCTGGAAAGAAAAATTTAACCGCCACTCCGATAATACATGACTGCTGCTTCACCCCACTCACTTGGATGAAAAAGTGACGCTGACTTCCACCATCAAGAATCAGCGGAACAGACAAATTCCTGGGGTAACATTTTGTTTGATCCTAATCTATGACGTCTGTAAGATCAAGGCCAAAAAAAAAAAAAGGCAGCAGACCCTTAATATATACCTCTCTCCTTCCCCGCAATTCTGAAGACCATCCCCCACCCAAACAATGCCATCTCCTAACACAACACATCAAGGAAACAAGCCTGTGGAATGTGAAGCCATTGTGCTGACTCCCTAATGAAGAGACAGACATCAAAATGGGGAAAGGAAAAAAAGCACTTCTTTTCAACAAGGTTTTATTTAGAACAAAAGAAAATTTTTTTAAAAAACCGCATCTCAAAGTCAAGCAGTTCCCAGTTAACTGCTGTTAAGTGTATGCCATTTATTTGTCCTGAACTAAAAAGAAAAAAATCCTAAGAATTTCAAAAACTCACCAAGTTAACTCTCTGGAGCTGGAAAAATACATTCCCCAGATGGTTCTTCTAAGCATGTCCCGTAGGGGGCACTAGAGAGGCACGATTAGGGCTGACTTGGGAATCACAGTCATTTCTGGTAAAAGTTCTTTGATGTGAGGAATGTCCCAGCCTGGTACAGTTGGCAACAGTTCACTCCGGGAAATTTTGTGTGTGTGTCTGTCTCCTGGGAAAGGGTGGTTGCTGCAGACGAGAGGTAGTCTGGGATTCCTTGATTCCGAAAAAGAACTGTCCCCCTTGATTTATTTTCACAAGTTATCTAAGGGGCAGACAAATGGCAGCCTTGGAAAAGGTCTAGGTCTTGTTTTTGTTTTGGTTTTATTTTTTTCATTAAAAGGGGACCCAGCTGATGAAAACAAGTTATGAAATGACCTGTGTTTGTGTAACCGGCGGGATTGCGTAATACTCGGGCCCTGAAACCGTAATAGTGGAGCAGCCAGGCAGGGCATTTATCTGGGAGGTGTTTTCCTAGGAAAGTCAGGGAGAGAGAGAGAGAGAGAGAGAGAGAGAGAGAGGAGAGAGAGAACAACAACAACACAAAGAAAAAGCCAGGAGGGGGAGATGTGTGCAATGATCACCGACAGAACAAAATCACCAATGACCAACCTCGGAGATTAAAACTATAACTGGGACAGGAAATATTTCTCATGCTTCGAGTTCCTGCCATGTACAAGAACAGAGGTTTCAACAAAAAGTTATCTCCCCACTCCCCCC